AGTTGTCACCAGAAAAATGTGGGTAAATTAGGTTGAACTCGATGGACTTGTGTCTTTTTTCAACCTGACTAACTATGTAACTATGTAAATCTTCCAATGGGGACAAATGTTTTGGTGATACCAGTCCATGAAAGTAATTCCCCTCACTTTGTGCAAATTTCCAGAATTGGAAATTTGAGGTGTCAACTAGGGATGCGCCCATACAATTTTTCCAAGACCAAGTATATATACAAGTACTTTCCCTCTGGTACTTGCCAATGCCAATTACCTATACTTTTTTTAAAAGGGCATCACTTTTTATCACTTTTTTTATTCTTTATTTTTTACACTTTGCCATTGCCATTGCCGTGGTCCTGGGTCCCCTAAAAGAGCATGGGGAGTCTGAAAACCACAGCAGGGGGAGGGACTTTGGAGGGTGGGGCAGACCATGGAGCAGGGGGGGGGGAAACAAGCAGCCAAGCAACGGCTTCCCCCGCTATACATTTAGCCCTGCTTACCCGAAGCAGGGCTAAATGTAGTAAAAAAACTACCCGCCCGGAACTGCATGTCCCAAACATCGAGCATCGTCAGCCCGAAGTACTGATACCGGCACTTTGTATCGGTGCCCTGTGTCTAGATACTATACTAGTATCGATATCGGTGCATCCCTAGTTTTAACGCCTCCTTGCTGTGGACAACTGCTCCACATTCTGTCTGCTCTAGCTTTGATTAATTCCCCCCATTGTGCTGGAAGGTGCCCCTCTTTCACCTGTCAGAAAGTACAAGGTCACACAGGGACTCATACACATGCAGAATCACATGCATACACGCAATAGGTTGAACTTGATGGACCTGTGTCTTTATTCAACCTCACATACTATGTATCTATGTACATGGGTCTCCTGCATTTAACACAGGAGAGATGGAACAAACTTGTACTTTCCTTATCCATTTCTCCTGTCTAGAATGATGTATATGTATTTACAATCGTTTACCCGCAGAAAACCAGGATAAACCATCCCAAGACGCACTTATTACTTTATGTAAACGCAGATAGACAGAATTCACCTTGACGCTGCTGAATGTCTAGTGTGAATTCAGCCATAGAGAAGCATTAGGTGCTTTTTCCTGTGCTTAGGTGTTCCGGCTTAGATGTTCCTGGGTTTAGCTGTGTGAAACCAGGCTAAATTCTTGTCTGTGTAAACTCAGCTGGACTGAATGCAGCTCAACAATGCTAAACAAGTAGGTGTGCATTCAAACATAGCAAAGGATTACATGGTTCCAGGTGCGTTTAGAAATGAGCACCAAACACACCTAGTTGCATGGATTTTAATTCCTGTGCCTAATTAGATGATGCCTAATTCTTGCACCAAAGAATTGAAATGACAAAGAAGTGCGCATACATCACTATAAATGCACACTATTATCCAGCACGATGGCCTGCAGGGGCTGAGAAACTGTGCAGGTGTTATTAGCTGAAGCTATAATAATTTTTTTAACACAGCACCAAACACAATAGTTACATGTAAAGCATACCTACCAACTGAAGGGACTGTCCCGCATTTGGAAACAGCTGTCCCTCTTTCCTGCTCAGTTGTCTTCTTTTTGGTCTGATATGAAAAGGTTCTATTTATCTACCAAAAATGTTAATTATCTTGTTTACTGTTTTGAAAAGACAGTATAAAGAAAAAGAAAAGGTGAAAAAAATATTCTTAATGGTCCACATAACTGGGTTCGTGGCAGGTGTGTGTCCAATTCCTACATACATAGAGGGGAATTTATCAAAACTGGAGCAGACAGAACTTGGAGCAGGCACCCATGGCAAACAATTAGCTTCTATCTTTCATTTTTAAAGCTTAACTGAACAAACTGAAGAGAGAAGTTGATTAGTTACTATGGGCAACAACTCCAGGGGGTTATTCACAAAGCTGCCTAAGGCAGCCGAGTGAATGACCCCGCCAAAGTGAAGTGAGCCGTACAACGTTCGGCTATTCACTTCAGTCTCACATTTAGGTTGTCTTGTCATGTTAGATGCATTACCCTGTTTGCACATGAAGTTACACATAGGAGAGCTTTGGATTGGATTACAATTTAATTTTGTAGGTAGCAAAAGGACAGATATAGATGCTTCCTCTACCATACAACCCCTGAGTTGTCCCTGCTTCTCTTCTCCTGATGGAGTGGAGGGACTCCCCTAGATGCGAATCTGCTCGCCCTCAGAAATCTTAGCCTAGGTTCACACCTTAGCGTATTGGAAACTCACGTTTGCCGTGCGCGGTTTTACCACGATTTGCGGTAAAAGAAACGCGCGTCAAATGCGAGTTTCCGAGGGGGTATCCGGTTGATAACAGCGGGATACGGGCATTAATACGCCCCAAAGAAGCTCATGTACTTCTTTGGGCGTATGGCGTTTTACCACGCGATCGAACGGGCGGTAAAACGCGCAGGTGAGAACCATGCCCATAGGCAAACATGGGTTTTCACCTGTTGCGTGTTTTACCGAGCGTAGGAACGTGCGGTAAAACGCTCAGGTGTGAACGGGGCCTTATACATGGTATTTATGTATTTATTTCTTTATTCGTTGATCTATGTCAGTTAGTGTTACGTATGGTTATTTGCTATTTTCAATTATTTGAATGCTCATGATAACATTCATAAGGATTCTACAGGCCACCTCTATAAACTTCTTGAAAAAGCTACGGCGAAACGCGTCAAAGAATGGAAAAGTACAGATTTTTGATTGGAACATTTAACAATATGAAATTATGTAACAATGTGTTGACTGATCTAAGTAATTATATATTGACTGATCTAATTAATTATGGATTTTTGCAATGTAATCAAGAATATAAATTATTGCTATTTTGCACAATATAAATCTGTACGTATTCCTAGAGGTGACATGCTGTTTATATGTATAATGGTCCTGTTTTTAGATGAGTGTGTTATGTTTTTTATATACAATTTTTTGCTAATGCTAAGTTATTAAATATGAATTTTACTATACAATAATGAGTCACTTGGCATTATGTCTAACTGCATTTCCTTGGATTGGTTATGAGTCACCAAAAAAGCCCCATTTATTTCTTTTTGGTATTTATGATTGTATTCACTTCAGTCTTGTACGGCTGATTTCAGCTGTACATTGGAAAAAAAAAAGTAGAAAAATTATTTAAAATTTTTTAATAAATAGGAAAATGTAAAAATAAATACAAATACTTTAAAGAAAATAAAAAATAATAATAATCAAAAAAGGCTGCATGCTGACCGCTTGCGACGGACTTCCGCCGCATAATAAAGCACCTGACAGATGCCGGCAAAAGAAAAACAATTGGGCAGCGCTTTCGGTGACAGCTAGCCCCCCCAAGTGTTTCCTATTGGCCGGCACCTGCAAGAGTTTTCTAGCAGGTCCCGGCCAATGAATAACAACTGGGCGGAGCCGGAACAAGACGTCACGGCCGGCTTGGTCCAGATTATTATACAGGATTTATATAGCGCCAATAGTTTGCACAGCGCTTCACAATATAAGGAAGACATTACAGTCACAATACAATTTAAGACAAGATGGTAAGGAGGGCCCTGCCCGTGAGGGCTTACAATCTAAAAGGGAGGGGCAAGTGATACATGAGGAGGTAGCTGCGTGGGGATGATTGTTTGAGAAAGTGATTGTTCAGTGGTTAGGGTGAGGTGGGATAGGCTTCCCTGAAGAGATGAGTCTTAAGGGATCGCCTAAAGGCAGTCAGTGTGGGAGATAGACGGACAGGTTGGGGTAGAGAGTTCCATAGAATGGGAGACACTCTAGTGAAGTCCTGGAGGCGAGCATGGGAGGAGTTGATGACGGAGCTGGAAAGCAGGAGGTCTTGTGAAGAGCGGAGGGGACGCTTAGGGTAATACTTTGAGACCAGGTTGGAGATATAGCCGGGGCCAGACTTGTGGATGGCTTTGTACGCGGTTGTTAAAATTTTGAATTTTATCCTTTGGGCTATAGGAAGCCAGTGCAGGGATTGACAGAGGGGGGTTGCAGACACTGAGCGGTTGGTTAGGTGGATGAGTCTAGCAGCTGAGTTGGGAGAGTTGGCAGTCCAGCTGTTGGCAGTCCAACCTTGGCAGTCCAGCTGTTGTGGAGCTACAAGTTCCATGAGGCATTGTAAAACTCTGACAGCCACAGACATGACCTGGGGGCCAAAGCATAATGGGATGTGTAGTTTCACCACAGCTGGAGTGCAGAGGTGCTCTCCCCTGCTCTATCTTTAACTAAAAATACAGAGTTTTGGCTTTAGTTCTACTTTACATGACAACAAAACCTGCCTTTATCAAAGAACTGGACATATGTTGGTCTAGAACTGCAAACAACGAACCCAGTCAGAGCAGGAAATGGCGAGAAAAGGTTGCAATGACATGGAAGTTCACCTACATCCATATACCTGCACACTATTTCCACAAGGACGGCCTGCAGAGGCTGAGGTACCGTGGAGATGTTACTACTCCATGCGGCCAGTAGATGGCGCGCAGCATCTGACAAGCTCTGGGAGCATCATTCCCATTCAGACGGAGCATTAGAAGGGAGTGATGCAGCGTAAGGGAGGAGTGTGGAGGGCTGGCCAGAGTGAAAGCAGTGAGAGGGAGGGGGGCTGTTTGGTGTGTAGATGGAGTGAGGACAGAAGGACTTGGCAGTTGCGCTAGTGGGGTTTGCTATCCGTGGCAGTCATAACTGTCTCTTTCCCTGTGTGTAGTAGTTTGGCTGAATTTTGTCTTTCATATACCTGTTGTGTTGGACTCTTTCTCTGCCTCAGGATCTGCTTTTTCCATCCTTTCCCCCCTGGCCTTCAGGATGTCCTGACTGGTCCTGCTAGCCCGGGCTCAGGAGTTGTCACCTCCTGGGCTCTGGACCATGAAAGCGGAGAGAGAGACTGAGCCGAGCCGGAGCCTGCTCCTTGTACCTGGGCTGAGAGAGAGCAAACGTTGCTGTCCTGCGAGGAATAGAGTTCGATCCGTCACTGGGGTACAAGGGAGATCCCCCATGGCATGGAGCTGAGAGCTGCCCCGGGACCACTGACAAAGTGACAAGACAGCTACTTCCTAACGACACACACTTCAGCCAATTCCACTCTTACCCAGGACACAGTCCGGACATGGGACCAGGGTGTCCAGTGTGAGTGGAGCACAGAACTTGGACCCCGAGTATGGGGCCCCTGGTCCCACTGCTCATGGGGGCCCTGATTTGGGTCTGTGTGTGGACAGATGATCCCAGCAAAGTGATATCAGATCGGTATGCAGTCTACTGAGAGGAGGGGGCAATCAAACCTGTATATTTGCATGCCTGGAACAAAACTAATCCCAGGTAAAGGGACTTTATTAGTGGGGTGCACTAAATTGAGGAGGGGGCAGGCAAATCTGTATACTTCCATACACCCTACTGGAGAAAAACTAATCCAAGGTAAAGGGGTCTTTAATATTTGGAGGGGGAATGCATTAAACTAAAGAGGAAAGTAATTCCAAAAAAAGTGTCTTCATTATTAGGTTGGTGAATTAAAATGAAAAGGGGGCAATCAAACTAGTATATGTCCATGCAATGTACTTGGACCAAAGTAATCCCAGGTAAAGGGCCTTCATTATTTGGGGAAGGGGGTGGTCTGAAGACTACACTGAGGAGGAGAAGAGAAACCTGTATACTTTCATGCAGTATACCAGAACAAAATGAATCCTAGATAAGGGGTCTTCAATATTTGGTGGGCTTAACAATCAAGCCTGTATGCTTTCATGCAGTGTACAGGAATCAAAGTAATCCCAGGTAGAGGGCCTTCATTATATGGGAACTTGGATACGTCCATGCAGTTCCTTCCAGTGTCAGCTCTGCAAATGCCAAAGAAGTGTGGAGTAGCTGAAAGTGACTTACACTACAGTTGCTAAGTAGCAGTTTGTGGTCAGTGAATCTCTGATTTGGGTCAGATGAAAATGTGTGACAGCCATGGCTGCAATTGCCTGGGTATTCATTAACTGTGTGTGGGCTAACTTTATACAACAAGTAACTTTCCCAGTGAGGTGCTCTGGATTCATCGCTGTACCCGATTCATTACTTTGGTGGGGGTACGGAACAAACTAGCAGCAGATATCCCTAACTAATCTAGGGGCGTATGAACATGGCTGCGTTTTTATCAATACAGCGTTTTTTCCCCCTTTACGGATCTGAATGCAGTTCTATTGTTCACTATGGGCTCATGCACGCCCCATGTAAAGATCAGTCATTTAAACAAACTGAAGAATCTGCATCCAAGGTCAGTAATTTACGCATGTACACATGTGTAAACGCATGCGTAAATTTGACCTGGCGGAATTGAAGAAGAATATTCCGTATCGGTACTTTTATGTGTCTAAAAGCGTGTTTACTGAAGCATGTTACTAACCTTCAGATGCATTTTTTTCACACAGGATCCTGCTGCCAGCACAATCCTTTTTAGATATCGGAAAAGTAATTACACATGTGCATGAACCCTAATAATGTCCACTCTAATCTGCGATTGGATAGTGTCCTTGCAAATCATAGAGTATTTTAGGTTCAGCAGCTTTTGCTTGTAAGGCTGGACAAACCCCTGGAGTCAGGTCGCGAATGCTGTTTAAAAACGACAGTTGGCGCCTGACTTTTTTTGTAGTTGTTGTCAAGAGAGCTGGCGTCTAAAAAAAATAAAATTAATTTTAATTTGTGCTCCCCTGCGGAAGTTTTCTGAGTGTCCTGTGCTCAGCAGAATATTTCTTGTGTTCCTCCTTCTGCTTCAGCACTCCACATCGGTGGCTGTGGGTCCTCTGTGTGTGTGTGATACTGACTAGTGTTAGGGCAGTGCGTCTGCTTTCCTGAGCTGATCCAGATGCTGCTGCTGCAGGAAACTCCAGGGACCCGAGGCTTCCCCTAATGCTCAGGATCATTATGAGCTACAAGTGCATTTGATGATCGCAAACCGTCTCCCAAGGAACAGGCGTTTTGTATTGTGAATTGAACACGGCCACATGTTGTCTGAGAACCTCAGAACAAAAGTAACACAAGCCTTGCCCGTTCTTCAATCCTTTTTTATCATTAAAAGATCTGTTTTGTGTCCTCAATATTACATTACTTTTTTTTTAATTATTATTATTATTAGCGGTCAGCATGAATAGTGTGTATGATGCTGTTTTGGCTGGCAAGGGAAGCACATATTATGTTCAGTTGCTTGGCATGCTTGGTGCATGTTATGTAGCACTAGTTGGCATGCACTGTGCATATTGTGTCGTATTTAGCTGCTGTGACATTTCGATGCATGCTGTTGCCTGGCATGCTTTTTATACCTACATTTTGTCAAACAAGCAACTGTTCTAAACAGGCTGGCATTCCCAGCACGCTTGCGTCATGTAGTATTTATTTCCCAAGCCTTGAATGGCTAAAGTTTTCCCGAACAGTGTGGATATTGTATGATTCAAGTTGATGCAGAAAGGAAGTTTCATAGGATGCGGGGAAAGTTATGTCCATTTCATTTCATTATTTTCTAGGAATGTATGAAGTATGAATGTAGACCGTTTGTCGTTAAGTGTACCATGCTGGTTTCCGAGATGAAAGCGCTGAGTGAAATGGATTGCGTCTGTGCTTATATTTGTACATATATTCAGCACACGTGAGGTCCGTAGTCACATATGAGCTGATTCGTGTCTACCAAACATGCCGATATTCCATGTTCCTGTTAGTTTGCTGTAACCCTTTGATGCTTATTTTTTTTTTTAACAAGGCAAACAGATCATTGAGCAAAGTACAGCATCCTATAGTAACCAATCACAATCCGTCTTTCACTAATCTGACTCCAGCAAAATGAAATCTAATTGGTAGCCATTGATTATAGCACTTTGCACATAATCACTGCCTCTTTACTGCCTTATTAAATAAGCTTTTTACATAGTGCTCTGCTTTTGTCCGAGTGTTTCCATGTGTTATATCCATTACAGCATTGGCTGGATAACCAGAGTTTAACAAAGACTTGCTCAAAAAGCACTTCTTCTGTCAATAAAATATCTACATGTTTGTTATGTGTGCTCTACAGTGCAAATTGGAACGTTCTGTTTAATGGAGAGCAATGCATGTTGGCATGTTCAAGCCAGAACAACCCTACGCTATGATTGAATGAGTAGATTGGCATCCTTAGCATGAGTTTGCTTAGTGAATATCATGTTACGTTCATCCTGCTTAGATAAAAAATAAATACATGTATTTTTTGTTTCGTTTTTAGTACCGTAACTTATTGTATGTGTTTGCATGCACACGTTACGTTGGCCTGTAACATGTATGTTTGGGGATAGACATGTGTTCCATATGCATAGTGCATTGAAGTGTCACATGATCGGCCTTGTGCATGTAAGCAGAAGCATTGTACTCTAAATCACTTGGTTTGAATGTTCACATTACAAAGCATGAGTATGGAAAGATAACTGAAGACACGCTGTGTCACATGTTGCTAGGACGGATGTATGTGCAATGTGCAGTATGAGCTGTCCATGTGCTGTGCAGTGTACACACATGTGCTGTATGAGCAGTCCATGTGCTGTGCAGTGTACACACATGTGCAGTATGAGCAGTCCATGTGCTGTGCAGTGTACACACATGTACAGTATGAGCTGTCCGTGTACTGTGCAGTGTTCATACATGTACAGTATGAGCTGTCCATGTACATTGCAGTGTACATACATGTGCAGTATGAGTTGTCCATGTACAGTGCAGTATACATACACGTGCAGTATGAGCTGTCCATGTACTGTTTACACACATGTGCAGTATGAGCTGTCCCTGTGCTTTGCATTGTATATACATGTGCAGTATGAGCTGTCCATGTACTTGGCAGTGTACATACATGTACAGTATGAGTTGTCCATGTACTATGCAGTGTACATACATGTGCAGTATGAGCTGACCATGTACTGTGTACACAGATATGCAGTATGAGCTGCCAATGTACTGTGTACACACATGTGCAGTATTAGCTGTACATGTACTGTGCAATGTACATACATGCGCAGTATGAGCTGTCCATATACTTGGCAGTGTACATAAATATGCAGTATGAGCTGTCCATGTACTGTGCAGTGTACATACATGTGCAGCATAAAATGTCCATGTGCTGTGCAGTGTACAGACATGTGCAATATAAGCTGTCCATGTACTAAGATGCGCAGTACATTTTCCAATAACTGATGTATGGCTGTTAAGGGTTAGAGTGATATCCATGTGTACACAGCATATATAGTGAAGTGTTGGGCAAGTGTAAATATAAATTGGAAGCATATAATGGGAGCAGTACACTGTGCTTAGAGTGATGATGATCTGTACAGTTTAATACAGAGTGAAACTGTATATGTAGAAAGTACAGAGGTGTTTGGAGTGCTAGTTCCATGTA